AGGCTACCCATTCCAGTATCCTGGCCTAGAGAATTCCATGAACTGTATAGTCCATGGGGTAGCAAAGAGTCAGAGATGACTGAGCGACTTTCACTTAGCTGACGAAAGTATTAAAAATGTTTTCAGTGTTTTTAAGTTCATAAAGGGGAAGGTCCACACTTGACACCAACTGGACAGATTATACAATGCCCAAAGTACCTGCCAGTATCCTCCAATCAGAATGGTTTTATTTTTTTATTTTTATAATTTTATTTATTTATTTGGTTGTGCTGGGTCATGGTTGCTCTGTGGGCTTTAATCTAGTTATGGTGAGCAAGGACTATTCTCAAGTTGTGGTACATGGGCTTCTCATTGCGGCAGCTTCTCTTGTTGCAGAGCACAAGCTCTAGAGCATTTGGGCTTCGGTAGTTTCAGTTCCCAGGCTCTAGAGCACAGACTTAGTAGTTGTGTAGCATGAGTTTAGTTGTCCCATATTATGTGGGATCTTCCCCGACTAGGGATCAAATTCATGTCTCCTGCATTGGCATGTGGATTCTTTACCACTGAGCCACCAGGAAAGCCCCCAGAACTTTCTTTTTTAATACATTTAAGAGGCTGTCAGTGCTTAAAGCAAGGGGCTTTCCAGGTGATGCAGTGGTAAAGAATCCCTTTGCCAGCGCTGGAGATGCAAGAGACGCAGGTTCGATCCTTGGGCTGGGAAGATCCCCTGAAGAAGGAAATGGCAACCCACTTCAGTATTCTTGCCTAAAATTCTAAGGACAGAGGAGCCTGGTGGGCTACAGTCCATGGGTTCAGAAGAGTCGGACACGACTGAACACACACACACACACACACACACACAGAGTGTTCCAAGCTGTCCCGCAGAAGGCTTGTCACTAATCTGAAAGCCAGCTGGGCTCTTACTGATGCTTTCACTGTCCAGAAAATGGCTGATTTCCTGGTGCCCATTACTTTCATTAGAGGCTCTTTATCAAAACAAACACTCTAGTAAATATGTTTATTAAATCTCATTTTTTATTTTAGAAATCAGGGTTTTAAAAAATTTAACTTATTCACATTTTACGTCCTTTGGTGCCTTTAAGAGCCCAGCAGGCCTTCACTTAAATAAACAAACCATTAGGCTGAGACACTCTGTCTAAATGGGCACATTAGCAGGTTAATAAATCTAGTCACTTAAGAATTTTAGCCTTGACAAAGATACTCTAAGGGGAAAGAAATGAAAAGATTCTAGTCTAAGGAAGCCCCCGAACCAATGACTCAGTGCATATACACTGAAATATTTCCTCTCCTCTGATCTTCCTGGGTTCGGCAAGAATTTAGATTAATCATCCTTTAGGCTCTATCCTGGATCAGGAGGGAAGATTTTCATGGCCTGGTTAACTACTGGGGACTTTTTCCTAGAATGGGAGGAGGAAAGCAGGAATATTTGTTGGGGGGCATTTGAGAGCTAACGTGTAGGTTTGCTGAGCACCTCCTTGAGCTCTGAGCCCCCAGGCAAGAGAGGAGGTGAAGGGAATGCCCCCGGCACTACCACAGAGACTCACCCACCTCCATTTTTCCTTCATCCATTCACTGAACACATGTTCACACAGTAGGACATGTGCTACAGGAAATAATAAGACATGGTCCCTGCCTGCAGGGAGCTAACAGTCTAGTAAAAAAGGCAGCTGAACAGGCAATTAGAGGAAATTTCATGTTAGGATAAAATGCTTTCTCCCCTCATTGCCCTTCTAGAGACTTGCATGATGTACCCCTGCCTCTCTTGGTGAACCTAACCCCAACTCCCTCTGCTGCAGTCTCACTGTCCCTTGAACAGGCTGCTCTTGTTCCCAGCTCAGAGCCTTTGCACTTGCAGTACCACCTGCCTGGAGCAGTCTTCTTTCCAGTTCATGAGGTCTCCCCTCAAATGTCACCTTTCCCAAGAGGTCTCCTTTAGCACCCACCTAAGAAAGGATCCCTTCCACCGCCTCTCTATTTCCATTTTCTTAATAGCACTTGTCAATAATTAAGCCAGCTGTGGACCATCCATCAGAATGTAACAGGCAGGAAGACAGGACCTGTTTTATGCTCATGGCAGCTTCCCCAGAACAGTACTTAGGGCCAAGGAGGTGCTCAGGAAAAATTTGCTTGTAAGTAAGTACTGTGATAAGAGAGGTACAGCAGGTAAGAGAAGTGACATTTGTGGGAGGGAATTAGTCAGACTTGGGGAGGAGGAGGTTACAGAGGAGAGAATACAGAGAAAGCAGGGTAAAGAGGCTGCAGAAGGCCCATCAGAATGCTGAGTGAGCAACTTCTCGATGCTGGCAAAACCTTGGCAAAAGGCTAAAGAGGTGAGAAAGAGCACCCATGTCTGGCCTTCAACAAGGATCTGCTAAACTCTCCTCCAGCAAGTTACCCTAGAACCCCTCCTCCCTGGAAAACAGAACAGCGGAGGGAGAGGTATTGATGAACGGCACCCTCTTGTGGCCAGAATTCCTTGAACAGGGTGCTCAGACTGGCTTTAGCGTGTGGCCCAACACCTGCTTTCTCTGATTTGATTCTCCCTTCTTTTTACCAAAACCTATCAAACAGACAAACAGAAAAACAACCACCCAGTGTAGCAGAGTTGATCCTTTGGTAATACCGCTCCTTAGACTTGTCATTTGGAAAGAGTTCATCTTGCTTAAAGGTTGGGGCTCCTGAGCACATCCCACATCATTAGCGCAGGACACAGCAGCCTGGCGGCAGGACTTACAGCCGAGAAGCCTGGTCCACACTCCAGCTGTGGCCTGGGGCCACACAGGGGGGACAGAAAGGTCAGGCCTGGGCAGCTGAGGGAGAGGCCAGGACAGTGGTCAGCAATGCATGGGACAAATGCCTCCACTACAGTCATCTCCCACCCTCTGAGCCACCACAGAGACTGCAGCCAAACAAGCTGCCAATAAAGTAGGAAAAACTCCATGGCTGAGGCTAGTGTGGGACGTGGACCAGAGCCCCCCGGGTGCCCTGGGCATGGAGCCAGGGGTGTGACTGTGCCAGGCTCGGCCTCCCCGACCCTGCGCAGACAGCCCAGTGCTGCAGCCGAAGCGTGGCCACGTCTTACAGCCTCCTTCACCATTTATGGTAGCTGAGCCTCTGTTTGGCCTTCACAGGCCAGTCAAACCCCACACTGGGCGGGGGGGTGGGGGCGGGTAGCGGGGTGTCCTGCTCACACGGGGCTGTTTTCAGAGCAGATCCAAACAGCTCTGGCAGAGTCCTTGATGGGACCTCTCTGTTTCTGCTTTGAAACATGCTTAGATGGGCAACCACCCAGGCCCCACTCCTCCCACAGACCTGGGGGGGCAAGGAGGATGGCCCCAGAGTCTTCTTGCCCCTCTTCTGGGGACCCCCACCTTCACTGGGACTGTTAGCTCACTGGGGTCCCTCTAATCCAATCTAAACACAGGCAGCCCAGGACAGGCTCTGGATCAGCAGGGCCCTTGGCTGAAGCCAGCCAGGGAGGCTCAGACCACACAAGCATCACGCACCTCTCTGGCCCTCTCCACCACTACCACTTTGGGGTAGGCCTCTCGGACCTCCAAGGAAGCCCAGGGGTGGGGGGAAGGTGGGAGCAGCAACCCTGGCCTGGATCCACGATTTCCCCAGACCCCTCAATCAGCCATGAGTGAGATCCATGAGGAAAGAACAGATGGAGTGTAAACTAGAATGAGGCCGGCAAGCTCCTGGGGCCACAGTCAGGCAGTGATTCCAGAAGGAGGGCCTCCTGGGAAGAGGCAGAGCCAGTCCCCAGGTGGTGACTCCATGCCAGACACTCTGGAGGAATCGCAGAGGAATCAGAGGAATCCTAGGGAGACAGGCTGTCAGTGCCTTTCCTTCATCCCTTGGGGGTGACACTGCCTAGCTCCTGGGGTGAGGCTCATCCCCACTCTGGGGCCAAGGGACTTGCCCTCTGGAAAAGGACAGGGAGTGAGCAGGAGCTTGGAGATCTGGGTTCCAAAGGCCAGTGTGGCTCACAAGGCAACTGACGTTGACTTCTTGAGACCTCCAGACCCTTCTGTGAAACATAGGAAGAGCGCTGCCCCCTCCAACCCCGCTTCCAGGGGTTTTAAGAATCGAGAAAATACAGGTGAGGTGACAGTATCTAGTGAGGTAACCAACATATGATTTTCCCTCCCCCTTTTCAGTGAAACCACCTCTAAGACCCCCTGGAAGCTTGCTGCTCAGATACAAGAAGACTCTCCCCAAGAGGCTGAGCCTGGAGGAACAGAGAAGGATGGCGTGTCTCCTACTGGGCTGCTGGCAAAGCAGGGCATGACACACCCGGTCTAAGCACTCAGTCTCCAGTCACTGTGGGACCTGGGGGCCCGGGCCCAGCTGAGGGTGGGGAATCAGGCTTACCTGAACACCCTGAGCCCAAGAAGACCTTCTCCAGCTCTGTCACCATGCCTTTCAATACTATAGCCCAGACAGCTGTCTTGAGTCTGTGGCTCCCCCCCAGGATTTCTGGGACTAAACACTTGGCGCTGATCAATGCATGATGACCATGCTAATCAGATTACTGGACACCAGGCTGCTGAGGTGCAAGAGCAAGCCTGGGGCGGTAGCGAGGAGTGAGGGCAGAAGGAAACAGGGGACAAACTGGCTCTCTGGAAGCCTCACTACTGGCACCTGTTACCTGGTGTCCCCCAGTGTCCCCCCAGTGCGTGAGGGGTCGTTTGTGAGAGCTTGAGTCTTACAGGAATTCATCCTCTTTCACTGGGTGTGGTTTTCTGCCTATCAGACTGGAAGCTTCTCGAACCAAGGGAGTCTTTGCCTCTTTCCCCTGCATCTTCCCTCAGCCACAGTGGGGTGAGGGGTGGAGGGCTGGGCTTGCATGTCCATCTCCAGTGGCAGACCCTGGACACTGTGAGCTCCTGGAGGCCACTGCCTCCAACTGCCTGCCTTCAGGTGCGATGCCCTTTCTCCAAAGCAGATGTGTTGGCAGGAAAGGTGCTTCTAGAAGGGTGCCCAGAGTCTCCTACCCTGGACAGTGACGCGGGCGCTGCAGGACACCTGCCCCATGGTGTTCTCAGCCAGACAGGTGTAGGTGCCATCGTCCTCCGGGAGGGTGTCCTGGATGTGGAGCTCGGCCACGCCAGCCTCGCAGGTGGAGCGGGCATACTGGATGGGCTGTCCTGGGGAGGGAAGCACAGTAGGGCTCAGGCCAGGGAACAGCCGGCAGAGGGGTGGGAGTCCTGTCCTCAGCAGGGCAGCTGCTGTCATGACGCTGGGGTTCCCCACACTTGCTCAGGCCCACTGAGGGCTCATGATGTGTTAGGACCACCCCCAGCCAGCTGGACAGAGGCTCAAGGGGGAGAGAAAGAGGCAGGAGCCAGGGAGGTGAAGGAGAGGGGGTGATTGTGAGGGTGGAGGAGCAAGACTGTGGCTGGTAGGACTTGGGGGAGAGATTCTGGAGGCATTTAGAATACAGGCAGGAAAGGGAGAGTTCTGTGCATTCTGTTTAAATAAACAGTCCCCAGATACACATCCTAGACTTCACAGGATTCTAAGCCTGGAAAGAATCTCACAGGGTCACCTGGCCCACAGCCCAGCCTCAGGCAGAATGGACCTCACCCAGACTGCACATGAGACTCCCAGATCCTTTTAGATGTTTCCAGAAACAATGAGCCTATTTCCCACTGCAGATATTTATCAGAAGTAATTCTGCACCCTCAGCCTAACACTGCAATGGGTTGCATTTTTGGATTCACAGAAAAAATAAATGCAGGGGATTATAAAAACAACTCTGGCCCCTTCTTCCAAGTCCCTTGCATGAGAGGCCCTTTATTCAGGTCCCGTAAAGTCCTGCACGGAGACAGAAGTGTGTGCCATGAAATTCAGTGGTTTCCTTAATGCTGTACGTTCCCAGGATTTTATTCTCTCAGGATGTGAGCTTTCATTTCCAGGAAAAAAGAAAATTTCATTACTGAAGGTCCTGGCCTTAGAGCAGGAATGTGTCCATTTACCATATAGGAAGCAACTGTCAGTTCCTTTCCCTGTCAGCCCCAGGGTCCTGGTTTGCACTTCATAAAACAGGGGGTGGGCAATGGGAGAGGGAGAAAGTGCAGAAAGAGGTCTTCTGTGCACGACGCAATGTTTTCTTCTGCTCATAGCAACACTCATGTCTCCATGACAGAGACTGCCAAGCCAGCCACAGGGCCAGAGGGAAGAGATTCCACTGGACCGATGCACTTCATAGAAGTGGGGCTGGGGGCTGGGAGAGCCAAGGGGCCAGGATCCTGCCACTGTGAGGACTGAACACTGTTCTCTCTGTGTGTGTGTCCCTAAATGCTCTTTTTCTTGAGAATGCCAGTATATTCCCCGACTGCCAGCAAAGTACCTCTGCTGTAGAAATCTGTACCGGCAAGCTGTTTGAGAGTTCGTTCCCCTTTTACTGGAGCATAGCTCATTTTGACTCCTCAAGCATGGGGTGCAACGGTGGCCCCAGAAAGGAGTTGTTGGCTCAGGGCACTCAGAATTGGGCGACACATAACTCCCAGCTCCAAGACCGATAAAACCAGAGTTGGTGGCCAAGGGTCCCCGAGTTGTGCATGATCGCCCTCTAGTGGGAACTGTGAAAATACCAAGATTCACCAAGAGGAAGAAGGTGGGTTGCCTTTCAGTCTGGAGAGGTGTAAACCAGAGGTCAGCAAACTCCTGCTCCTAGGTCACATCCCACTTGACGCCTGTTTTTGTATAGTCTGAAAGTTAAGGGGATAGTTTTCACATATTTTAAATGTTGGGAAAAAATCAAGGGAGGGATATTTCATGATGTGTGTGAAAATTATATGAATTCACATTTGTGTCTATAAATAAAGTTTTATTGTGTTCATTTATGTGTGGTCTCTGGCTTTGTTTGTGCCATGACAGCAGAACTGAGTAGTTGTGACAGAGACTGTGTGGTGTGCAAAGGTGGACACATTTACCATCTGGCCCTTTATAGACGATGTTTCTTGACGCCTGGCCTGGACCTTGAGCCAAGCGGGAGGGAAACACTCTTGTTCAGATCCATTCCTAGCCCTTAACATCCATGCTGTGTTCCAGCTGCAAGGAGGCCACCTCTGTGCCGTCAGTCGTGGGATCCAACAGGAGCTCTGTCGGTTGTAAGGGGTGGAGGGGAAGACCCCCGTTCTCACCTCTCTGCCCAAGAAGTCCACAGATAGGGAGACACCAAGGCAACTTCCTACGCTGACTGAAGATCGTTTCTAGCAAAGTCTGAGCAAACCATACTGACGAGGCAGGTTCATGGCAACAGTGTAGAGATGCCTGGGGACTATTTGGTGCACAGGAGATGGGCTGCTGATCCCTTAAAGAGTTCATTCCATCAACTGAGAGAGCTGGTAGAGACTCTAAACCTCTGTTCCAATCCATCTCCTCACCAATAAAGAGGTTGATTCCCAGGGTAGTAAAGTGGGGCTTCCAGGGTCACCCAACCACTCAATACAGAGGAGGACAAGTGCAGGCATCCTTTTAGCCTCCCCTAAGGTCCCCTAAGTAGACCAATTCAACTTCATCAATTTTATGGACTATTTCAGTTCTAGCGATAGATTTCTCCCATATATACTTTTGGAATTTAAAGGCTTTTTTCTTTAAAAAAAAAAAAGAGAGAGAGAGAGAAGAGTGATAATATGTAATAATTTTTTTTTTCAAAGGACTTTACTTGGTAAAAAGAAAGTTGGGATGTCTCTATAGGACTATAATGTTAAAAAGAATTACTGGTCTATGAACCCTTAAACCACCTGCCACTAAATAAAAGGCAAGATCCCATGAGCAACTGCTAGTGTGGTTCATTAATCTGTGGGCTTTTTTGTTCACTTATTGACTCAACAAATATTTATTGAGAGCCTACTTGTGAGTCTAGCTGTACGAAAAGAAGCTAAATTGCTTGTGCACCTGTGTGCCAGGCATCTCATTAACTGTTGTATATAAAGAATCTAATTTGACAATCACCATCTGAAAGATAAGTGGCCTCACTCTTGTAGACGAGGAGCTCAAGGCTCAGAGAGGGGTAAAGCTTGCCCGGTGTCCCCAGCCAGGCATTGGCAGACTCCCAGGTCCCATGCTCTCTCTACACTCCATGCTTCTTTCTCATGCATAAATGGTTCGGAGTGATATATGGGGAAGCTAAGCAGGAATTCGGGCAAGGCTAAAGGCTCGGGGGGCTGGAGCAGGGGGTCTCACCATTGAGCAGCCAAGTGATTCGAGGCACTGGGGTCCCCTGTACTAAGCATCGCAGCACAAAGTCCTGGCCCTCAACGACGGTGCAGTCCCTCAGGGCACTGGAGAATGAAGGGGCCACCTCCATCACGGCTGGCTCTGTGAGGGCAAAGGACAGACAGGCCGTCTCAGATCACCACCGCCCCACGCTGGGGACTGACCACAGGCAGCCACCTCATTGCCCTGGGCACCCAGGGCTTGCTCTCTCAGTGGTCTGGCTTTGCCTCATCCATCATCACACAAGGAAGCAGGCAGTACCACCATGTCGAGACCTGGAGCCTGAAGCAGAGTGACTTCAGGGCCTTTTTCATCATCACAGGACACCCCACGTCTGGGAGTGCTCAGGACCGGGCCAGCCTCTTCTCCTCCAGGACACTGGTCCCTCCTGCTTTGTCCGGACTTTCACTGTCCTGGAGCATCCACCGAGCTCCTTCATCCCCTTTTCTTGGCCTTATTCTACTTTCTCCTGTCTTATATTATCCTTGATGTGTCCCATCAGACCCTGCACACTTTTTATTTAAATTTTTAAAATCCTGAAATGTTTCATTAGATATAAAATGTGGATAAAACAGATATTTTATTTTATTTTTTTTAAATGTATTCAAAGATAAGCTTTATTCCAATGTTTACATATAAATGAGTTGATGTCAAACAGGAAAATGTTTTTATAAAGGGTTAAAATTTATCAAACAACAGAACTTGGTCCTTCCCTTTAGTTTGAATTCAACTGGCTGACGCATCATTATTAGTATCTGCCCTCACTAATCATTTTCATCACACACAATATCTAAATGTCTTTGGATGGCACTTCCTATTTCTCTGTAAGTTTCTTAAACTGCTTTCAGTTACAAGAGAAGGGCAAGGATTTTATCGGCTCATACTCTACTCCACTGGAGGCAAAGATACACCCCTCAATTCTCTTGTTTAAATTGTGGCTGTTGGCAAAGTGTCCAAATGAAGGATTTAAGGCTAACACACAAAGAACATAGTATAATCTATGTATAACAGTAACTTTGCTTCAAATTTTTTCCATTACGAATTATTTCTATTATCTCTCCACAAGGAAGTTATAAAAATACCTGTAAAAACATTGAAAAGGCTCTTTAAAATCCTGGAATGAAAAATTCTGAAGTATAAATTATGATACATCTTCTATGATTTGCAAATAAAGAATAAAATAAATTCTACAAGTTGGAATTTCTGAATGATTTTGGCAGGAATTTACCAGAAGGAGCCAGAACATCAAACCTTAACAATTTTCTATTTTCATCCCAATTGAGTTTTTGAAAAGCTGTATAATCTGTTGACAGGTATAGTCCACATACGAACTTGCTTCTGCTGTTAATGATGAAGTCAATCTGAAGGACAGAGATTTGTATGCTGGATGCGCCAGGCTATTCCATGCAACTGACTGGTCTTCTCTTATTTTTTCCATCATGTTTTAAATAAAAGTAAATACATATATGGTAAAAAATTTAAATGTTACAAGAAGATTTAAAATAATCAGTAAATATCCTTTTTGCCCATAACCTAGAAAATCTGATGTCTTCCAAATCATCAGTCACATGAATAATTTGCAAAGTGAAGTCAACCTTAGAGTCTCTTCATCTGAAAATTATTCTCAGGATTTCTGGAATGTGTTGATTCTCTCATATATTACCTCTGTTACAGAGGAAAGCCATGCAGTCTTCTTCTTAAAAAAAAAAAAACTACGAAAGCAACTTGCACGCTCTGCTCCAAGAGAGCAAGTCCAGGCAACCCCTTGTACTCCGTGGATCTGGTCCTGGCTACAGGCAGGGGCTCTGGTATCAACCAGAGACTCGGGCGGGTGGCCAGAGCTCAGCCAAGCCCTTCCTGAATGCCTCGGATCCTCCGGGCCAGCTGCACATCCTTCGGGAAGAGCGTGACGCGGCCGGCGTGTAAGGAGAGGAGATAGGCATCCTCGAAGAGATGAACTAGAAACGCTTCTGCCGCCCCTTGTAGGGCCAACAGGGCCTGGGCTTGCCAATTGAAGTCCACACCACGAATGAATTGAACACATATTTCTCTTGCCAGGCGGCAGAAGAAGGTCTTTCTTAACAGCAGGTGTGTGGTCTTCTGAAGAGTTCGGATCTCCTTCAGGATTCTATATCCCCGGCGAGCAGGTGAACGGGAGGACGTGACTAAGGACAGGGCTGGCCGGCGTGCGGCGGGAGCCGGGCTCGCGGGGCGCCTCCTTGGTGTTTCGGGCTTGCGGCCCCGGCGAGGGCCCATGGCGGGCGCGCAGGGCTGCAGCCCCGCGGCTCCTTCTAGATCTTCTGGGTCGGGGGGCAGAGGCTGGGAGGGCCGAGACGACCCGGCCGCATGCCCCGGCTGGGTGCTGTTCGAATTGCCCGCACCGCCGCCAATTCACCGGCCGCGTTTTTTAAAAACCGAATCCAGCGACTCCAAAATAGATTTTTTAAAGGAAAACATAAATCATCTACACTGACTCAAAAAACAATTTATACAGATGTCCCTGGCAGTCCAGTGGTTAAGACTTTGCCTTCCAATGCAGGAGGTGCGGGTTCAATCCCTGGTTGGAGAGCTAAGACCCCACATGTGACCAAAAACCCAAAACATAAAACAGAAGCAATACTGTAACAAATTCAATAAAAACTTTAAAAAATGATCCACATTAAAAAAAAGTCTAAAAAAAAAAACACAAAAAAATCCCCAACAATATATGTACATTTAAAAGTAGACTGGCAATTCTATGATCTTATCATAGAAGTATACCATTATGGTTTACTCAGAAGATACAAGGGTGAACACTAAAACATTGTATGTAACAAAGAGACCCTGAACACTCCTGTGAATATCTTTTTACTTGGAAAGACCACATGCCCACTCGTGAGGACATTTCAATATTAAATTATTATAGCTATTTTTTTTTTCAAGTTCAAGGCAGAATGACAAGGACTTAACATGAGTTCTAGTTTTCTAATCTAGGCCAGTAGTTCAGAAGCACTGGGGCCCTCAATCCCCCCCATTTTCATTGAGAACCACTGAGCTGAACTCTATAGAAGATTTCTACATAGGTGAGTTGGGGAACATTTTGCTTGGGGGCCATAATTAAGAACAATGGGGATAGAAAATCTTTTCCACAACAACCAGAACATGCTGCAGCAGAGTCAAGGTGGCTGATTTAAGGCAACTGGATTTTGTGATGAGACGATAGCCCACTGGTACTCTTCAGAGAAGCTATTCAATACAGTGATGAGGGGAAAACTACTATATTGAGAGTACAAAGGTTTTAGGGCAAAAACTAATATTCGAGGGTTTACTAGGTACTTTTCCAGAGGTGATAGTGACAAAGCCACGAGACTGCTATCTTTAACTTGTTTTACAGATGAAGTTAATAATTTCCCACAGTCAAGCCCAGTGGTAAAGCAAAGCTTTACACCTAATTCTCTGACTCTACATCCACACCCCCTCCTCTAGCCCAGGGGTACCCTAATAGGAGAGCAGGCAGTGGCAACACAGCTACAATCAGAATGTGGTGTATCTGAATGGGCAGGTACAGAGTGAAGGGATGCCAGCTTACTTAGGCAAGTGAGGGGAGACACCACCTCCTCCCCTTTGCTCCCAGGAGGCATCGACTTCCCTCATTAGAGAAATCCCCTTAGGAGGCACTGCAAACAACGTGGGCTTTTGTGTCAGGCCAACATGGGTTAGGAATATGCTTTTTTTTTTTTTTTTTTTTTTACAAGGCATGGGACCTTGAGCAAGTCCCTTAACCTCACTAAAGCTCAGTATTCTCATTTGGAAAATGGGCGTAACTGTGATTATCTCTTAAAACCGTTGAGATTACCAAATGAAGTCTTGCAAGTAAAGTCTTCAGGATAAAACTCATTGAACAGGCTTTCAGGGCGGTGTTAGCTCTTATCATCAGATGGAAGCTGGGCACAGAGACTGGACTAGCAGCAAGTTTTGGGGTAAAAGGAGCAGAGAGAAAACTTGGGAACTTAAGGGGCAGTGAGGCAGAGGGAAGATTTCCTTTTCCTTTTTAGATGAGGTGAGACCAGATCATGCCTGTAGGGAGGAGAAAGGGGTCTCTAGATAAAGAGAGGGGGAGAGACCGAAGAAATGGTAGGAAGGTCAATCATTATTAGACCTGATTTCTTGTAGGTCTGGGAGGGATGGAAGAAGTCTTGGTAAGGGAAGCAGGCAGCTTTTCTGCAGTGATAGGAAGAAAGAGAAAGAGGTGTTAGATGACCTGCATCTTGGTGAGGCCTTCTGGAGACTTCAAAACAGCTAAGGAGAAAGGCAGGCAAGCCAGACTTCTGGGATGGAGGACTTAGGACTTCTGTTAAGTTCTCCTCCAGACAAGGAGCAAGAACCCTGGCAAAGTGCTCAACATCAGCTTTCTCAGAACTCTGGAAATTAATTCATTTTAAATTTATTTTAAAAAATTAAAAAAACATTTATTTCCAAGCCATATGATTACATATTGTTTAAATTCCTCACACTGCACATACACTATTTTTATAAACAGATACTACAATGAGCAGAAGAGAGGGGGCACCCACATCACCTCACGTCACTCTAAGTATGTCTGTCTGGTTCAAAGTGAGCCCTCAGACAGGCACCTGAGGAACTAGAAAAAGGTGGGCTGGGCCTGATTCTGAGGTGATCCTGCTGTGAATTCCCATCAGGAATCACTCCCTTGGGGCAATGACTTTGACCTTGGCCGGTAGGCAGGAATGACGTTTCTCTCAGGTGGCACCCCCTAGGCAGGGGACTGTAGGAGATGACACAGGTGCCATGTATGAAGCACCCCACGAAGGTCCTCCCACAGAGAAGCCAGGGTGACCTTGAGGGACGTACTCACTTTTCACCAGGAGGGTCCAGCGACAGGACACCTGGCCTCGGACGTTGGCGGCTGTGCAGCTGTAGTTCCCGCTGTCCCGGGCCCGGGCTCTCCGCAGGCAGAGGTAATGGGCCCCCCCAGCTTCATAAACCTCGATGGTGCCCTCTTGACTCCTCACGGGGACACCGTCCAGGAACCAGGTCACATCAGGTTTTGGGATCCCTGAAACTACAGGGCCAGGTGAAGGATGTGAGGCCCCCAAGAGCGCTTGTGGGCTGGGGTGGGTGATGAAGGGACTGAGCCTGAGGGCGGGGCTCAGCTGGTATGCTACTGCCCTCCGGCTGGAACCCACTCTCTGGAACCCACTCCGGCTGGAACCCACCCTCCCCCTCCTCCCCAAGGCAGAGGCCGGGGCCCTTCGGGAGGAGGGATGCAAGGGGGCACACCAGGCCTCTAGACCAGCCAGAGCCTGCAGAGGGAGGACAGAGAAACGGACCCTGGGGTTTGTTGCTGGTGGCAATGGTGGTGACGGGTTTTTCGTAGTGGGGGCTGAAAATCAGGGCTCAGAAATGCAAATCAAAACCACAATGAGGTACCATTACACACCAGTCAGGATGGCTGCTATCCAAAAGTCTACAAGCAATAAATGCTGGAGAGGGTGTGGAGAAAAGGGAACCCTCTTACACTGTTGGTGGGAATGCAAATTAGTACAGCCACTATGGAAAACAGTGTGGAGATTTCTTAAAAAGCTGGAAATAGAACTGCCATATGACCCAGCAATCCCACTTCTGGGCATACACACCAAGGAAACCAGATCTGAAAGAGACACGTGTACCCCAATGTTCATCGCAGCACTGTTTATAATAGCCAGGACATGGAAGCAACCTAGATGCCCATCAGCAGATGAATGGATGAGGAAGCTATGGTACATATACACCATGGAATATTACTCAGCCATTAAAAAGAATTCATTTGAATCAGTTCTAATGAGATGGATGAAACTGGAGCCCATTATACAGAGCGAAGTAAGCTAGAAAGATAAAGACCATTACAGTATACTAACACATATATATGGAATTTAGAAAGATGGTAACGATAACTCTATGTGCAAAACAGAAAAAGAGACTCCTATGTATAGAACAGACTTGTGGACTCTGGGAGAAGGCGAGGGTGGGGTGTTTCAAGAGAACAGCATTGAAACACGTATATTATCTAGGGTGAAACAGTTCACCAGCCCAGGTTGGGTGCATGAGACAAGTGCTCGGGCCTGGTGCACTGGGAAGACCCAGAGGGATTGGGTGGAGAGGGAGGTGGGAGGGGGGACCGGGATGGGGAATACATGTAAAAAAAAAAGATACACTATGGTTGTGATAAAAAAAATAAATTAAAAAAAAAAAAAAGAAAATCAGGGCTCAGGGTAGGTGCTCTCTTCAACCATGAACAATGGGCCACTGCAGGGAGCATCTCCTGAGGGGAGATCCATGTAAAGTGCTTCCCTGGGGTGGGAGACTCCAGTCCCAAGCAATGGTGGATACAGGAGGCTCTGACCACTGAGGTGAAGGAAGGGAGTGGCCCCCTCAACCCGGGGGCTACCATATGCACACCAGAGACCTCAGGCTGCTCTACTCACCCTCGCATCTGAACTCGACTGGCTGATCTTCACTGACCTCCTGGCTCTGGGGTCTGCTCTCAAATTTGGGAAACATGGTGTCTCTCTGGCTCTCCATGGAGACCTTCCTCGTAGCGACCTTGCCCGCAGTGTCTTGGCTTCCCAGGCCTGACCTCCTGGTGGGGAGGGTGTCTGGAGGGGCTGCAGTTGGCCCCTCCCTCTCTTCTCTGGAAGGACAGGGGGTTCCCAGGACTGGTACTCTGGGCTCTAGCTGGACTTTTGCCGCCTGCAGGGTGATGGTGCTGGAGGTCTTCTGCAGGATGGGGGTCCTCTGGCCCTTTCTGGGGGAGTCCCCCACTGGCTCCAGCTCAGATTCCCTGGGGGGCTGAGACGGGCTCCCTGTGGCCCAGGTCGGGGAGCTGCCTCGCTGGGTGCTGGGGCAGTTCTTGCTCTCGGCAGCAGCCTCCAGGCTGTCTGGTTTGGGCCCCTGAGTAACTCCATTGGTCACTTCCTTCCTGATGTCCGTACCGGCCACCTTTGTTCCTCTCACAAGTGACCTGTTTGGTGGTGAGGGGCGGACAGTGGGGCAGAAGAAGAAGAAGGAAGAGAACAATCATTTAGTTACTCATCACAAGCACGAGCTCCAGGAATCATGAAAGCCCACAAATTAGGACAGAGTAAGAGCGAAAGTCCTTCTCTGCTATCGGCTCAGTTTCCAGCCAGAAAACAAGCAGGTGGATTCTGGCTTTGAACATGGAGGGCATGCTTGCAGAGCAGTGCCCTTCCTAATGGTGGCTAACTAGTAAAGATACTGAGCAGGGTCTTCGAGAGTCTCAATACTGACGGCAAGCCTGACCCAGAACCTAGGCAGCAAATTACAATAGAAAATGAAACGTTTCAAATAAAATAACGCCCCTCAAACAGGCAGTTCTCCCCACTATATGATGACTCAGCCATTTAGGGCATGTCTTGATTACAATCCCTCTTTTCTGACAGGGCATTTCGAGATGGACCAATGACAGTCACAAAGCTTACACATACCTACTGGAATTGTCCAAACCTGGAAAAAGAGAGAAGGTAGAAAGACGGTTAGTGGAATGTTGTATACGCCAGGAGCAGGAAGTGATAAAACAAGAATCTCTCATTTATGACAGAGTCTGGCTTCCTAAGCGCTCACCTTCCCCGTCACCTGTGGCCCTCCTCCCCCTCTCCTTTCAGCTTCCCTGGTCCTAAACTTCTTGGGTTAGTCTGATAAACTCCTCTGAGCCCTGCAGACACTCTTAAGTTTCCAGCGCTGCCCTGGGCCTTTCCTACGGCCTCTGCTGCCCCACCCTGGGCACAGTAGCTTCCTGTTCTCTAACCCGAAGAAGGAAACAAAAACCACTCGAGGGACAAACAAAAATAAACACCTACCTACCCAAAACTTCAAACCCACACAGTTCCACTTGCATGTGGCCCTCTAAAGAGCCCCTCAAGGGAATCATTTTTGACAAATACCTGCTTCTTTTTAAAACGTACAGAAAAAGTGTAATTTTATTCAGTTCTTCAAAGAAAAAACATACTATTACTAGATATATTTTTCTACCACATTATTTTTAAAAAATGTTTTATCATGGAAAATTACAAAATACACAATAGTACCAAGAAGGATATGACAAACACTGAAAGCCAAAGCCCAGATTAGGGAAATATCAACATTTTGCCAATCTTATCTATATCTCTCTGTTTTGTTTTTGAGGGACTTTTTCTGGGAGTATTTTCAAACAAATCCCAGGAAACACACCATTCTGGCATTAATTGCTTCAGAAGGGATCAGTTCTTTAATTCAGTGCTGGGGAAAGTAGAGGACAGAGACTAAAATAGTAGGGTCCTGAGACAGTAATGAGTTGTGAAGTCAGAGCCTATGGTCAGAAAAAGGGGTTTTTTTTTCTTAATGAAGTAGAAGAGAAGAGAAAATGCCAGAATGTATTGTATATAATACTCAGGATTGTTTCATGAAACTGGTTTCAGTAATATATGTGCATATGTATTTGTATATGTATATGTTTATATATATTGGGCTTCCCTGGTGGCTCAGATGGTAAAGAATCTGTCTGCAATGTGGGAAACTTGGGTTAGATTCCTGGGTCGGGAAGATTCCCTGGAGGAGGGCATGGCAATCCACTCCAGTGTTCTTGCCTGGAGAATCCCCATGGACAGAGGAGCCTGGCAGGCTACAGTCCATGGGGTCGCAAAGAGTTGGACATGCCTGAGCAACTAAGCATACATACATACACACACACATCCTGGGTTGCAATGTAAAATAAATTTGTTTCTGTGGGTAGTAAAAACACTTGGGCCAAAAATGTGAAGAGAGCAAGGAGGGATACTTTCTGAGGAAGGAAGGAGATGGAGAAGAGGAAAGTCATAGAAGAGACAAGGGTAAGAGGGAGAGAGTGAGGGTTGTTTTACTCCCTGATCCATAAATCCCAACCCACTCAAGGTTCCCACTCAAATGGAGTGACCTCAGTCATCCTTCCTGTCCACACATCCCAGTTTCCCCAGGCTGGACTTGGCAGAACCAAGGGGAATGGAATGGGAAGTCATACACAGAGAGATTTCAAGAGAAGAGCTAATTAGGGCTGATGACTGTAGCAAGGAGAGACAGGTGCCAAAGCTGGTCTGAAATGCCCAGTCCTGTGAGAAGGGAAGAGTTAAGTTGAGGGAGCACCTGATCTGAAGGACAGGGTGGACACTGAGATAAATTTTAGGCTGGGTAAATACGAGGTGATGGGAAGACACTAGCAATGTGCACTCTTCCAAAAGGCAATTAGAACTGTAAATAAAAAAGGAGTCTGAGCAAAAAGGAAAAACTGAACCCAGGTGTGTAGACACAGGTGAAGTATCTTCCTCCTTGGCTGCGTCTGTGCTACTCACTCACCCATTCTTCTGATTCAAGATGCTGACCTGGGGATGGATACCCGAGTACATAAGTGTGACACGTGTAACACACAGATGTGTAATGAACAAGCAGCTCCTTCTAGGTCCTTTAGGGACCCTGGAAGGGACAGTTCTGCAATAGCCCTCCCACAGCCCTTGGATGGAGAGCTTGGACCATACCTTGGATGGAAAGCTCAGCAGACATGGAGGCCTTCCCTGACCCATTCACCACCATGCACGTGTACACTCCCACATCATCTCGGGTGACCTCATGGATTTCCAGGACTTGCATCCCATTCTTCTCGGACATAGACACACGGGCACTGGGCTGCAGGGGAATGTCTCCCTGTGGACGGCACAGGCAGCTTGGTCAGAGAAACTGTTCACCTTTCAGCTCTGTCCTGTCTCCTGCCAATCCACATGGGACAGACAACAGGCACGGGCTGCAGGGCCCTCTGCTCTGGGCTCTGTCATCATGCTCAGAGAGCAGCCTGAGGGCCACCCAAGGGCCCTGACTGCTGTATGGATGCGCTATGGTGTTCCGTCCAGTTGAGAGCAGGTGCATGGAACCTGTTTGAAAGGAGCCTGAGTTTGAGGTGGAAAATTTTACATTCCTCACTTTAGTTCTCCTTTGCCTCCCTCTTCCTTTTATAGATGTTCCAGGGTCAGAACAGGAGAATCAGGACACAGGGAAAAGGCACCCCATCGCTCATTTTTATCCAGGAGTTCCACCCATGAAAAACCTACTCTCCCTGGCTTTGATCTCCTCGCCACCCTGTTTACACCCACTCCTCCCCCTCTCCCCTGTTTCCTCACCTCTGTCTTCACAGTGTCTAGCCCCAATGATTTATAAAGCACTCCCACATGGAGCCTCCCAACAGTATTTTGAGGTTGGTGGCATTATCTCTGCCTCACAGATAAGGAAACCCGGGTTCTAAAAGACCAATGTCTTGCCCAGCATCACATGCTCTGTGAATCAGGGAGCTATGGCTTGAAATCAGCCCCAGACTTCAAAGTCCACTCTCTTGACACGGTCAGGTCTGTCTTGACTCAGAAGTTTTATGCTGTTCTGTGAGTGTGTGGATTACAGGACATTGTGGGCTGAGTGACAGGGAGAATATGCGAACGGGGCAAGAACAGGCATGGCTACCAAACACAGGAGAAACTCAAGGGCCACCTACAGTTGAAGTGGCAGGGACTGATTGGGAAGACAGACTCCTGCTAGCCCAGGGATCTCACCCAGAGTCAGGGCAGATAGAACCCTACCTTGAGCCAGGTGACCTGTGGCTGGGGTCGGCCAGTGATCTTGCAGGAGAACCGCCCCATCTGTCCTTCTCTGACCACCGCTCGGCCCAGCTTGGTAGCAAATTTTGGTGGACATTCTCCCCAGATGCTAGGACGGGTCTCCACAGCAGGGACTGCAAATCTGTCCCTGGGAAAAGATCAGCAGGAAATCCATAGCAATGCAGATCCTTTTCTGTCTGTCCCCACCCAAGTCACTTAACATGGGCTCAGAAACCAGCAAAGGGAAACCTTCCCAATTATGTGGCTCAAATACATTCCTGGAAAATATCTGTGGCACCAAACCCTATTTCCTCTACCTCCTGAGCATGCGGTTAGTCTTCATTTACTAGCCCCTTGAATTTGTGCTCCTCCTCCCGCTCACTCAGTCACGCTAAACTCTTTGTGACTCCATGGACTGTAGCCCGCCAGGCTCCTCTGTCCATGGGATTTTCCAGGCAAGAATATTGTAGTGGGTTGCTATTTCCTACTACAGGGGATCTTCCTGACCCAGGGATTGAACCCATGTCTCTTGCAACTTCTGCAATGGCAGGTGGATTCTTTACCACTGAGTCACCTGGGAAGTTCAGTGAATTTAGGTACACCTGAGTTCTACTGAGCTCTGGCCAGAGCCTAGGTTTTGGCCAACAGACTGTGAACAGAAAGCAGAAGCACTATGTGCCACTTTTAGGCTGGACTGTTCAAAACCTCTCGTGTGATTCTCTTCTGGCTAGATGCAGAGAGTTCTGCCGAAGAGATGATGGAGCCACAAAACAGAAGGAGCCTGGGTCCCTGAAATTTAGTTGGAAGGTTCTCCACTTGTCTGAGAAAATATGAACTGATTTTGCTTGAATAAGAAATAAACTTCCCTTGTGTTAAGCCTTTGTGATTTAGGGGCTTGTTTGTTACAGCAGCCATTTTTACTTACCCTTGCCAATACAGGTTTACTTGCCATAAGAAAAGTCACATATTGATTGCCTCGTCTAAGTCTGCTTATTTTAGGTCTTCTGACTCTAGTCTTGGTTATTAGAGACCCCTGCAGACTATGGCCATATAGGCCACTTCCATTTAGCAGCTGGACCAAAGGAGCGATCCACAGAGGCCACAGGGTCAGGAGGGGCTGTGTGAATGACATGTCACACCCCAGTAGGCTCCTGCTTTAGTTATAACCTGGGATGCTTGAGAAAACTTGCTCCCCAGGCTGTTCTGCCAAGGCAACAGGAGCCAATCCAGCCCTTACCCTGGGTTGAACACCCCAGAACTTACCCCAAGGCTTTGGAAACAACAGGCTGACCAGGCTTCTTCACAGAGCTCCCTGAAAGTAGGAAACAAAGAGAAAGAGGCTTGAAGAGCCAAGTCTGAGCTACCAACTTGGAGCAACAAAAGTCAGGGAGTCAACAAGGAGTATGGGGTGAGATAATGATGGTAACAGTTCACCCTGATTGAGGCTGTACTGGGTCAGGCTGTATGGTGGTTACTTTACATATATCATTGCATGGATTTCCTGTAATAATTTAAGCAGACTGGTATCACATCATCCTGCTATATTTTTTAAACTGGTGGGAAAAAATGAGATTCAGAGATGTGAAGTCACCCTCTTGAGTCACAGAGCCAGTAATTGTACAGGAAAGCATTCCAGTCTGCCTGTTCTAGAACACTCCACCATTCTGCTGAGCAGTTATATGTTCTTGGACCTTCCACTTTGGGGATGCTCTGTGGAAATTAGGACCTCTCCAGAAAAGGAGCCAACGGAATGGAGCAGGGAGATGCACATGCATCACTCTTGCCAAGTCCATTCCCATCTGACCCAATCACCACCCCACTTAAGGCCCAGCAAAGAGCTGTAGCTGTCCAGCTGGAACAAGCAGATCACTGGAGAGGAGCTCCAGTGAAGCCAGTACCTCCCAGGACATGCACCAGCAGGACAGTGGGCACTGCTGGTCCGCAGTGTGGTGCTGCTGTGCTGGGCAGGAAGCAGTTAAACAGCAAACCCAGGTGGCTGGTGTCACCTCCTTTATCTAACTGCTGCTGCTGGGAGGAACAACTCACAATGAGACCAGGAATTGACCAAAAGGGGAGGGGTATTTTTGAGGAATGGAGAAGGGGAGAGGAGGAAATACAATAGGCTTGAAAGTTGCTATCTTTTTGTGATAGGCTGGGAATGTTGATAAAACCCCACCCAAAGCACTCATGGGAGGGGTAGAAGTCATTCCCTGATAACAGCAGGCAGCTGCAGTGGGATATCTGCAGGGGGTTTCCTGGAAAAAGGGGAAACTTCCTTAAATCCCAGCACGGATCACACATGAATGCATAGGAACACAGGAGTGGAGGATGAAGCCCATGGCTGAGTACTTTCCTCAGCCACATCTGGTTTAAGGTTACAGCGAGATCTCACTGAAAAAGAGTTAATAGCTAACAGTGGTATCACATTCACATCATGGTTCCATATGGGTTGGCAATTGTTGTACATGTGCTTTCCCTTAATATAACTATTTAGTTATCTGAGAAAACACTGCATATGGACATCACCAGATGGTCAATACCCAAATCAGATTATGTTCTCTGCAGCCAAAGATGGAGAAGCTCTAAACAGTCAGCAAAAACAAGACTGGGAACTGACTGTGGCTCAGATCATGAACTCCTTATTGCCAAATTCAGACTTAAATTGAAGAAAGTAGGGAAAACCACTAGACCACTCAGGTATGACCTAAATCAAATCCCTTATGACTATACAGTGGAAGTGACAAATAGATTCAAGGGATTAGATCTGATAGACAGAGGGCCTGAAGAACTAGGGACGGAGGTTTGTGACATTGTACAGGAGGCAGTGATCAAGACCACCCCCAAGAAAAAGAAATGCAAAAAGGCAAAATGGTTGTCTGAGGAGGCTTTACAAACAGCTGTGGAAAGAAGAGAAGGGACAGGCGAAGGAGAAATGGAAAGATATACCCATTTGAATGCAGAGTTCCAAAGAATAGCAAGGAGAGATAAAGCCTTCCTCAGTGATCAATGCAAAGACATAGAGGAAAACAATAAAATGGGAAAGACTAGAGATCTCTTCAAGAAAATTAGAGATATCAAGGGAACTTTTCATGTGAATATGGGCACAATAAAGGACAGAAATTACCATTTCTGGACCTAACAGAAGCAAAAGATACTAAGAAGAGGTAGCAAGAATACACAGAAGAAGAATACAAAAAAGATCTTCACAACCCAGATAATCATGATGGTGTGACCACTTGTCTAGAGCCAGACATCCTGGAACAGGAAGTCAAGTAGGCCTTAGGAAGCATCACTACAAACAAAGCTAGTGGAAGTGATGGAATTCCAGTTGAGCTATTTCAAATCCTAAAAGATGATGCTGTGAAAGTGCTGCACTCAATATGCCAGCAAATTTGGAAAACTCAGCAGTGGCCACAGGACTGGAAAAGGTCAGTTTTCATTCCAATCCCAAAGAAAGGCAATGCCAAAGAATGCTCAAACTACCGCACAAATGCACTCATCTCACACACTAGCAAAGTAATGCTCAAAATTCTCCAAGCCAGGCTTCAGCAATACGTGAACTGTGAACTTCCAGATATTCAAGCTGGATTTAGAAAAGGCAGAGGAACCAGAGATCAAATTGCCAACATCCTTTGGATCATCGAAAAAGCAAGAGAGTTCCAGAAAAATATCTACTTCTGCTTTATCGACTATGCCAAAGCCTTTAACTGTGTGGATCACAATAAAATGTGGAAAATCCTGAAAGAGATGAGAATACCAGACCACCTGACATGCATCTTGAGAAATCTGTATGCAGGTCAAGAAGCAACAGAACCGGACATGGAACAACAGACTGGTTCCAAATCGGGAAAGGAGTACATCAAGGCTGTATATTGTCAGTCTGCTTTTAACTTCTTTGCAGAGTACATCATGTGAAATGCTCAGTTGGATGAAGCCCAAGCTGGAATCAAGATTGCCAGGAGAAATATCAATAACCTCAGATATGCAGATGACACCACACTTACAGCAGAAAGTGAAGAAGAACTAAAGAGCCTCTTGATGAAAGTGAAAGAGGAGAGTGAAAATGTTGGCTTAAAGCTCAACATTCAGAAAACTAAGATCATGGCATCTGATCTCATCACTTCATGGTAAATTGATGGGGAAACAGTGAGAGACTTTATTTTTGGGGGCTCCAAAATCACTGCAGATGGTGACTGAAGCCATGAAATTAAAAGACACTTGCTCCTTGGAAGAAAAGTTATGACCAACCTAGACAACATATTAAAAAGCATAGACATTACTTTGCCAATAAAGGTATGTCTAGTCAAAGCTTTGATTTTTCCAGTAGTCATGTATGGATGTGAGAGTTGGACTATAAAGAAAGCTGAGCACCAAAGAATTGATGCTTTTGAACTGTGGTGTTGGAGAAGACTCTTGAGAATCCTTTGAACTGCAAGGAGATCCAACCAGTCCATCCTAAAGGAAATCAGTCCTGAATATTCATTGGAAGGACTGATGTTGAAGCTGAAACTCCAATACTTTGGCCACCTGATACAAAGAGCTGACTCATTTGTAAAGACCCTGATGCTGGGAAAAATTGAAGGCAGGAGGAGAAGGGGATGACAGAGGATGAGATGGTTGGATGGCATCACCGACTCAATGGGCATGAGTTTGATTAGACTCCAGCAGTTGGTGATGGACAGGGAGGCCTAGCATGCTGCAGTCCATGGGGTTGCAAAGAGTCGGACATGACTGAGTGACTGAACTGAACTAAACTAGCTGTGTATAATTTTCATCCCATAATATGGGTTTAGTACTTCTCATTAAATTCTCTTTTCAAGGTCAAAAGAACTTATAAGCAGATAAAAGGAAAGACCTGTTCTGGGAGGTTAAGATGCTAAATAACATTGGAAGAATGCCAACTAGTCAGTTCTTTCAGAAAGTGTCTGAGCACATGAGAATTGTAAGCTTTAAAGATGCTCTCCTCTTAGACCAGCATCTTCCTTTCTGTTTCTCTAGTCATCATCTCTAGGAAATGATGCTAAAAGTAGTAAAGAAAGTTTACAAAGCTACTCACTCTGGTCTTGTTGGTAATAGTAAATATTGGAAACAATGCAAATGTCACAAGTTGATAGGGAGATAATAAGTAGCTCAGTTAAAATGTACAATTAGAATCTTTTTTTGCCACTGAATTATGTTCCAGAATATATGAAACGTTCAGAACTATTTTAAAACATTACATCATGAGCTCCTTAGCACACTCCAGCTGGGCTGTGATCCTCTCCACTCCACTGAGCTCCCTTCTAACCACCACCTTGCTAAATCCCGTGGTCCAGCTTCTTCCCCATCTCACTCAGTAGCACTTGCCACCAGGGGCCATCCCCTCCAACACTTTTTCCTCCAGACTCTCCTGCTTTTACCAGGTTGCCTGTTCTTCTTCAACCTCCTTCTTTCCTGGAACTTTATCACCAAGAGCACCTTAGGGCTGAGTCTTGGGTCCTCTCCTCAGCGCTATGGACTCTTCCCTGGAAGGTCTTGGTCCTATGGCTTTAAATAATACCCATAAGCTGATAACTTCCAAACCATATCCTTATCAGAATTTTGTATCCATCAGAGGTAACCACACTAGTTCCCATCACTTTATAGGCATTCAAATATTTGTTAAACAAATGAATTTTATGAAAAAAGGAGCAGCATGCAAACTTTTCTAATCAATGTGTTCATAAGCAGGTAAAAGTGAAACAAAATACCCAAACATAGTAAAATGACCCAAACATAAAAAAAATATAAAATACCCAGAAGAAAATATATCCAAATGTTATAACCTCTTATACACATTCTATCCCCAGAATTAGTCACATGCCAACCACTAAAACTCTCATCTAAAATATCCCTGTACTAAATGGATAAAGAAGATATAGCGCACATGTGCGCACACACACACACACACACACACACACACATATATAATGGAATATTACTCAGCCATTAAAAAGAATGAAATAATGTCATTTGCAGCAACATAGATGGACCTACAGATTGTCATGCTGAGTGAAGTAAGTCAAACACACACAGAGAGAAAAATCATATAATATCCCTTATATGTGGAATCTAAAAAGAAGTGATACAAATGAACTCATTTACAAAACAGAAAATGACTGATAGACTTGAAAATGAACTTATGGTTACCAGCAGGGGGAAGAATGAGAGAAAGAGATAGTTTGGGAGTTTGGGATGGAAATGTACACACTGCTATATTTAAATGGATAAACAACAAGTTTCTACTATATAGCACACTCTGCTCAATGTTATGTGGCAGCTTGGATGGGAGGG